GAGGGAGAAAAAAGAGAAAAAAGAAAAGAAAAAAAAAAGAGAATGAAGGAAAGAAGAAAAATGAGGAACAAAGAAGGAAAGAAGAAAAAAAAAGGGAGAGAAAAGAAGAAACAGCGAAGGAAAAGAAGAAGAAAAGAGGAGGAAAGAGAGGAGAAAAAAAAAGAGAAACAGAGAGAGAGAAGGGAAGAAATTTTTTTTTTATAATTTTGGATTGATTTGACGATTATACTCATAGATTTAACGGTTCTTTTAATAGAAGGACTATTTAAGAGTACATGTATTAACGTTAGGGACCATTAATGATACAAAAAAACATTAGGGATGCAATGTGATAATTTCGCAAACGTCAGGGACGTTTTATGATAATAATTTCTTTTGGTTTCATCGTTTTGTGGGGGCAGATGTAGCCAAGTCACATGCATGACTCTGTATGTACTTCAACAACAAACGAATTTGGGAATTTCCGGTTACTGTAGGATTCAAAAGCGAACCTTAATTTATAGCTATTAGCTACTACCGGTTGCTGTCCTAAATAAAACTAACAAATTAGATGCGCATGCGCGCAATATAACCTTAATCTCTCACATACGTAACAGCTTAGCAAATCCAAGTAATGACAAGATCTATGATTACTTAATTACGTGGACAACCAAAAAATCAAAATAATATATATTTTTCTTCTCCAGGGTGCAAAAATGAATATTTGCCTCGACATTACGTTATTATTATAAAATAATAATTATTATTTTTTAAAAACCACCATAATTTAGGTAGACAGATATCAACTCGTAATGGTCGCTACATGAGTGGTATGCCTTTGATCTGATTTGTCAATAAGAAAGCAAAAGACAACCTTTACATTTGATTTCAAAAGAAGATATATATATATATTTTCTCCATATAATTAAGGTGGCCGATATATTTGACCCATACGAGAAAGAAACTCAGAGAGGCACAAACGCCACTCGAGAAGTAAATGTGACACACCATATCCATGTTCCTTTTATTTATTTACATGTAACACTCAATTAATAAGTAAAATCTGTTTTTTTAAATTACTATTATTATAGCTTCTTTTTTTATTTTATTTATTTATTAACATCTGGCAAAGGATTTGCCATCCCATCTATATATATATATATATAAGCAGAGCTTATGAGCTGCTCGCAGTGGAAGGCTATAGAGAGAGAGAGATCGGAGAGCAAGCTAGCATGGAGCCTTCTAGTGATAACGAGCTCTCTGAACCCCTCTTGCTTTCCAAATCATCTTCAATGCAAATAGTGAGCCGTGAACTGGAAGACACACTAAACAACACTGAGCTCTCATACTTCCAGCGCGTCCGAACCGGCACATGGCTCGAGCTGAAGACCCTCTTCCGCCTGGCAGCTCCGGCGGTTGTGGTTTACTTGCTCAACAATGTCATATCCATGTCCACCCAAATCTACTGTGGCCATCTTGGCAACCTTGAACTCGCTGCCTCCTCTCTTGGCAACACTGGCATTCAAGTTTTCGCCTATGGCCTCATGGTACAACTAATTAATTTTTTAATTTTGCCTATGTTCTTTTATCGAATATTATGTTATGTTATTTGACTGTGAAATATGGTATGTCTGATGTACGATTTGACAACATAACATATTCATCGGATTGCTATGTTCCCAGGGATTAATTTGGTATAATTAATTCATGTGTGTTTTTGGTGCAGCTTGGTATGGGTAGTGCAGTGGAGACACTGTGTGGTCAAGCCTATGGTGCACATAAGTACGACATGCTAGGCATATATATGCAGCGATCGACAATCCTCCTCCTAGCAACTAGCATCCCACTGATGATAATTTACATCTTCTGCAAGCCCATCTTGTTAGGCCTAGGTGAATCAGCCTCCATTGCCGCCGCGGCAGCGATCTTTGTCTACGGTCTCATCCCTCAAATCTTTGCCTACGCCTGCAACTTCCCCATACAAAAGTTCCTCCAAGCCCAGAGCATAGTGTTCCCTAGCGCCTACATATCGCTGGGGGCACTGGTGGTGCACATAGTGCTAAGTTGGGTGGTGGTGTACAAATTGGGATGGGGCCTGTTGGGCGCCGCGTTGATGTTGAGTTTTTCGTGGTGGCTTATAGTGGTGGGGCAATTTGTGTACATATTGTGGACGCCAAGGTGCAGACGCACATGGACAGGCTTTAGCATGAAGGCATTTTCTGGGCTGTGGAGCTTTTTGAAATTGTCTGTGGCATCGGCCGTCATGCTTTGCCTGGAGACTTGGTACTATCAAATTATAGTTTTGCTTGCTGGGTTGCTTAAAAATGCTGAAATTGCATTGGACGCTCTCTCTATTTGGTGAGCCAAATCAAAGTTATTAATTCTAATTAATTAGTTTGCCTATTAACCTTAATGATCAGATCAGGACAGGAGGTCCACTCACTACTCTTGCTCTGCTTAGCACCACTCACAAAAAACAACGAAAAACAAAATTTGGTAGCTACTAGTCTGGTAGCTGGGCACAACAACTAGTCAATTTATTTATTTATTTTTAAGCTGTGACCAAAGTCAATGTGTTATGAAACGCTCAGGTATTTCTTTTTACACGGTTTTCATGTGATGAGGAGGAGACATGCTTTCTTTGCTGTGTCGTTTGTATTCGTATCTATCTAATTGTTTTCTTGTACTATTTATGTAAAAGTTGGACATGCATGTATCAATATCTAATATCTAATATCTAATATAAAAAATTATTATCTTTGAACTTATGATGAAATATTAATTGATGCAGCATGACCATAACTGGATGGGTCTTCATGATTGCTGTGGGGTTCAATGCTGCTGCAAGGTCAGTATATTTCACAAAACACACACGACATCGGATACAGGGATAATTGTTCTTAATCACTTGATCGAGCTATAGTAGTTATTTGAAGCCTAATGACGAATAAATAATTATGCAGTGTGAGGATTGGGAATGAGCTTGGGGCAGGACATCCAAAATCGGCAGCATTTGCAGTGGTGGTGGTGACTTCAAGCTCCTTCATCATATCGGTGGTGTGCGCCATAATTGTGATTGTTTTACGACATGATATAAGTTATGTGTTCACTGAGGGAGAAACAGTCTCCAATGCCGTCTCTGACCTTTCTCCGTACCTTGCCATATCTATCGTTCTCAATGGCATCCAACCTGTTTTGTCTGGTACGTGAGATTGATCAAGTTTTGTTTTTTTGTTTTTTGTCAGTATATGTGTTGGCAGACCATGAATGTCTAATAAACTAACAGTCAACGATCTAAAAATCTACGTGATGGACTAGTAGTTGAACATCAAGATCATACGACGTGGTCCTATTTTTTTTATTTTTTTTATTGTTACTTTATTTATTGCCATCAGAATCTGCCTCTTCTTTGTGTCGTTTGTTGGCTTTACCATGCAATGCAATGTGCGTTTTGGAGTGTTGCTCTGGTTATATATGCCCTAATGTAGGATTCTATCTTTTTGGGCCAAAATAAAAGGAGTGGCTGTTGGGTGCGGATGGCAAGCATTTGTAGCATATGTTAACGTGGGATGTTACTACGTCATTGGGATCCCAGTGGGTTGCCTTCTTGGATTCAAGTTCGATTTCGGAGCTCAGGTGACAATACTATTTTCCTATTTTTAGCACTTTAATTATCCAAAATTATATATATATATATATATATATATAGGTTTGTGTTGTGGTTTTATGTATAATTCATTTTAGTTGCAGGTTGAAAAAACACAGAGTCGTTTGGAGAGTTGGGAGGACAATAAGAAGGAGCCCCATGATGAAGTGCTGACCAATTAGTCGAGTTTGGCGTTGGCCAGTTTTGAACTTACTCTTTTCTTGTTTTTCTGGCGGACGTCGTCGTCGGGGAGGTTACATGGAGAGGTGTGCTTGCTTTTTTACATGCATGGAAAGTTTTGCATTATTGTATTTTTGGGCTAATTTTGTGGTTTGTCTGTTTTGTTGTATTTGGCTGCTCTCATCTTTGTCATTTTGGGCCAACCTATTTATATCAATCCAAGAATTGTTCATTGGCCAACCAAAAAACAAAAACCTCCCTCCTTCAACCCTTTTATTAATTTCTAATGCAATGTGTGTCACATGGAATTACTTTTTTTTATTTTATATATTTTTGCTAATTAAGGAAATTAAAATTACAAAAGAAAACCTCTAGGACACGCGTAGGTTTTTACATAATATACAAGGAGAAAGCATGCGCCACAAAAGGAGGGCTCATCAGATGAACAATATCCTGTGATCGTTTGATGCATGATTTATTTTACTAGTGCGACAACGAGGGCTCATCAGTGCCCAGCCAGCAAGCAATGTCAAGTCACAATTAATATTGTGTAAAATCAATAGAAAAGTAACAACCGTGGGATCCAATTTTCAATACTTGTTTTTCCAAACCATAAATGTTGAATAAGTATAAAAATACAAATCGGATTTGCTTTCCACTTTTCATCCTCCTGCATATTTGTAGCATATGTTAACGTGGGATGTTACTACGTCATTGGGATCCCAGTGGGTTGCCTTCTTGGATTCAAGTTCGATTTCGGAGCTCAGGTGACAATACTATTTTCCTATTTTTAGCACTTTAATTATCCAAAATTATATATATATATATATATATATATAGGTTTGTGTTGTGGTTTTATGTATAATTAATTTTAGGTTTGTTTTGTTTTTGTCAGGAAAAACCTCTTTTATACCGGGTATATTACTGTTTTGTTATTATATGCCAATAGCACAATAACACGCGAAAAAGTTATTTAATAATGTGTCATTGTGTTATTGGTTAGGGATATCTTATCCATATCCCCGTTGCATGAGAGTTTCTCTCCCTACTATGCTATGTATTAGCTTCAGTTTCAATGAAGTACCAATTGGTAATGGGGGAGTAATCCAACTCCTTAGAGCATTTCCAGCAGTGCAGCCAAGGGGAGGGCTGGGGGGGGGCAAGCCCAAAATCGTGTTTCCAGCAACAAACTTTGGCCCGGGCAAGCAGTGGGGCCTACCGAACTGGGCTGGCCCTCGGGCAAGGCTAGCCCCAGGTCCAAAACGAGGGCAAGGCTGACGTCAGCGATGACATCAGCGCGCGCCAACTGTAATGTGCCATGTGTCAAAACCAGGGCGCTCCGATGGTATTTTCCCTCCAATCCAACGGCAGACAATATTTTGGCAATAAAAATATGAAAAAAAATCCGAAAAAAATTCTTAAAAAGACCAAAAAATACTGGAATTTTTTTCTATAAATATTACCTTATTTTCATTTTCAACATTTAAGTAAATGTCTTTGTCCTTTTACTTTTATTAATTTTTATATTACTCCATTTACTTAAGTTTACAATGTAAATCAATATTGTGTAAAATCAATTGAAAAGTAACAACCGTGGGATCCAATTTTCAGTACTTGTTTTTCCAAACCATAAATGTTGAATAAGTATAAAAATACAAATCGGATTTGCTTTCCACTTTTCATCCTCCTGCATCATTCATCTGGGCAGGTTTGCTTTCACTTTCCCATTAGCCCGGGGGCCTTTAATCATGCATTGCCTTTCACTTTCAATGTTGCTTCACTAATTGATTGGGTCCCGAAGGCTCCGTGCTATGGAAACAAAACCTCTTTTATACCGGGTATATTACTGTTTTGTTATTATCTGCCAATAGCACAATAACACGCGAAAAAGTTATTTAATAATGTGTCATTGTGTTATTGGTTATGGATATCTTATCCATATCCCCGTTGCATGAGAGTTTCTCTCCCTACTATGCTATGTATTAGCTTCAGTTTCAATGAAGTACCAATTGGTAATGGAGCAGCCACTATTCACATGAATAGTGTCAGCCTTAGCCCCCCCTTGCCATGGCAAGGGTTTGACTGCTGGAAATGCTCTTATAAGCCCTTTGTAGCTAACCCTGTTTGCTTCCTCATGCAAGATGCACGCACTTTCCCTTCTTCTCATCTTGATTTCCTAACGCACTCAAACTGCACCTCAACTTTCAACTTTCCTAATTAATTTCTTCGACCGTTATAAAAATAAAAATCTTTAATTGACTTTTCTTGTATTAAAATGATTGATCTACTTTTGTTGTTTTTACCGGTCCCATTGCTTTTTTAAAAAAAGAAAAAAAAGAAAATTGATTCCATGGTCCATCTTGAAATTGAAAAATAAAACATTTATAGGTATAAAAATAAAATGGATTCTACATTTTGGTTTGCGATTTAATAATAAAAATTTATTGGAAAATCGAAGATAGATCATGAATGTGTAACAATTTCTTAAATGAAAAGTCAAGTGAAAACAAGAGAAGCATAATGATGTGGAAATATTTTTGTTCACCATTTTAATCTAAGGTATACTCTAAGCACCGTTCTTAATACTTGACGTCCATAGGCGTAATCATAGTTAACTCTTTGTTCTATATTTGAGAAACCATTGTTACATATCAAGCATTGAGAAAAGTAGTGGTACACAAAAATGCTCACAAAGGATGTAGTAGGAATGTGAGTAGATTTGAGTGTTAATTAATTGGCAGCTAATATCATTAATAACATGGGATCGGTCGATGGCAGCTAATATCATTAATTATTTGAGAAATCATTGTTGCACGTGTAGCGAATTTTCAAACTTAGCACGTGAATAATATATAGTGGGTGACGTGGAGCAAGATGTAGCCGTTGAGCTTTCACACATGAACAAACCTGTTCTGATACTATGAAGGAAGTTGAGGCTCCACTCCAAATGAAAATAAAAAGTAAAAAATCCCACATCGTGTAGAAAACAAATTTGTTCTCTTACATGGGGCCTTGTCGTTTAGTATAATTTCTCCTCAGTATATCATTCCTTCCAAGCACCTTCCTCTATATATTTTGGCAAAGATACCACAAACACCATCAGTATAGTTGTAAGTCCAATATGGTCAATGATCAAGACCAACTCCGGCAACCCATCTTAGACTCCGAACCCAACACAACAGCACCCGAAGCCTCCAACCATGGCGATGGCTTGGAGTCTCCACTTGAGAAGGTGCTATCTGACACCCAACTGCCCTCCTTCAAGAGACTCCGCTTGGCCACATGGATTGAACTCAAGCTCCTCTTTCGCCTTGCAGCCCCTGCCGTCTTGGTTTATGTCGTTAACAACTCCATGTCACTTTCCACCCGTGTCTTCGCAGGCCACCTCGGCAACCTTGAGCTTGCCGCCGCCTCCCTTGGCAACAGCGGCGTCCAACTCTTCGCCTACGGCCTCATGGTACGTATAAATCTCAGAACCTTAACTCATGTTATATTGTCCCTCTGTCAATTATTAGAATATGAATTCGTGTGATAAAATGTTTCACATTAATAGTTTAACAACATAACAAGACATTCTTATATTTTACCGTCTCTGGTCGCATGCAGTTAGGCATGGGAAGTGCGGTGGAAACTCTATGTGGGCAAGCCTACGGTGCCGAAAAATATGACATGTTAGGCATATACCTCCAAAGAGCAACCATAGTCCTAACCCTCACTGGCCTTCCACTTCTTCTCATCTTCCTTCTATCCAAACCCATCTTGATCTTATTCGGTGAGCCACCAAAGCTAGCTGCAGCAGCCGCCGTTTTCGTCTACGGTCTCATCCCACAAATCTTTGCCTACGCCATCAACTTCCCGATACAAAAGTTTCTTCAAGCCCAGAGAATTGTGGCCCCAAGCGCCTACATATCAGCCGCTACACTTGGAGTGCATATACTGCTGAGCTGGGTAGCTGTGTACAAGTTGGGCATGGGGTTGATAGGTGCGTCGTTGGTTCTGAGCTTGTCGTGGTGGATCGTAGTTGGGGCCCAATTTGTTTACATCCTAAAGAGCAGTCGGTGCAAGGAGACGTGGACTGGGTTTAGTTTGCAAGCGTTTTCTGGGTTGCGGGATTTTCTGAAACTATCGGCTGCGTCGGCTGTGATGCTGTGCTTGGAGACTTGGTACTTTCAGGTACTAGTGTTGATTGCTGGGTTGCTCGAGAACCCTGAGCTCGCGTTAAATTCTTTGGCCGTATGGTAAGAACAAAAATCATCTGATGGTGATGTCTAATTAATTTTCATTGTCTACAGTAATTTCACAATTATATAGCTAGCTGGCTTGGTTCTGTTTGGTCAAATAAAAATAGGGGTTTGACTGTGACTACCGAAATATCGAAATCACAATGATCGGTCATCATCAGTGCATTTTGTGGTGAAACACATTTTTATAATGACATCCATGAGACCACTAGTTAGAGAATACATTTTTATTGATCACAAAACGACACATGTCATGATTCATACCCCAATTTTTCTATCAAACAAAAACATATAGACATGTCCTTTACTTTTTGGGTGGACTATAGATACGCATATGTCATTCACCCATCAAATCCTGTTCTTCTAGACTCTATGGGACAAGGAATTTGTGGTCATCACCCTTAAATCTAATTCAAAGGTGTTTATTTTAAATTCAAAGATGATGACCACAAACTCCTTGAATTACAGGTGTCAGGAGAACGGGATTGCTTAAACTAATTAGTCAAATTAATACTCAAAACTTCCTCATGAACCCTAATTAACTATCAACACATCTCTACTACTTACGTGGGCAGGCATGCATAGACGTAGAAATTTATTGATTTAATTTTAGTGTTGGTTTCGTGGCCTTATGCATGCAGCATGGCGATATCTGGATTGTTGTTCATGGTTTCAGTCGGGTTTAATGCAGCTGCAAGGTATAATATTGGATTATTATAAAAATAATTGATCGTATTTGTTGAATAATTAAGTGTGTAATATTATGCATATAAAATTAACATTTAGTTAATGATATTGTATGGGAACAGTGTGAGGGTAAGCAATGAGCTAGGTGCTGGGAATCCAAAGTCAGCAGCATTCTCAGTTCTAGTGGTAACAATTGTGTCGTTAATGATTGCTGTCGTGGAAGCTGTGGTTGTGCTCTCCTTCCGTGACGTCATCAGCTACGCCTTCACCGACGGTGAAACCGTGGCCAATGCCGTGTCCCACCTCACTCCTTACTTGGCCATCACTCTTATCCTTAATGGGATTCAACCAGTCCTGTCCGGTAAGCACTCTTATCCATCCAGCTAGCCACCATCAATTTCGTATAATCAGGGACCAAATTGGATTTTAATTATAGTTATATCCGATATGACATCTTTTTGGCTGGTGTATATAATAATATATGTAAAGACAAGACAATAAAGTGATATGTATGAGGTGTCAAATGGGACGGGTCGGCCCAGCACGGCATGAGCCCAACCTATTTATATGAGGCACGGCACGACCCAATAAATAATTTTAGTAAATAAACCAGCATGACACGACTCAATAAATTAAATGGGTCAGTTTGACTCGACATGAATATGTTAAAAACACAAGTTTAAATAGGCCGGCCCAACCCTACTCGGCCCCTTTAACAGCTCTATGTACGTGATATTGTTTTCGCTGGATTGAACACTAGTTCTTGACTCGTCGTTGTGATCATATAAGAAGACAACATAAGTATATTTCAAAATAGTGGTGGTCCATCTGCAGAGAGTATATTTACAACACACCAAGTTAATCAACATATATATATATATATATATATATATATATATATATATATATATATATATAT